ATATACTACTACTACTACTGATATAACGATAATAACACTACTACCTCTTAATGAAGGTTTGGTGATCTACTATGAGATGTATCATACTCCCTTATCCATACCAATATCATACCATTACTTGTACCTTATAATGGTAATCATTACTACTAGTAGTAATAGTAATATAACTACTGTAACTACTTACCAACAGCAATATCCCCATTCAATGCATCAACAGCAATCTGAGTGGCTATATAACCATTGGTATTGTATCCACTTCCTCCAGTAAAAGCAGCAGCAGCATTAGATGGTAGATACATTTCGCCAAGTAATAGTATCTATAGTAAGGATAATGATGATATGAAACTCCTTCTTCTCCTCCTCATTATTTTTACTGCTTACACAATGAGTATGAGGATCATTAGGTATGCTTGTAACAAGAGGTATACAGTGTGGTGTTATATTAGTTGTAGTAGTAGTAGTATCCACTCCACCACATATACCAGTAACAACAGCAGCAGTAGCATCACAACATGATGAATGATCCAAAGCTATTAGCTCATCATCATCATCATCAATATAATCATCCCTATTGCGATCATCATCATCATACCGTATACATCCACCACCACCACCATGATGATGATGTTGAGAGTTCACTGATCTTATACATCGTCGCGTAAAGAGGTATTTAATCCTACCACGTATCTAGTAATGATTATAGAATGATAATGATGATGATAGACTTATGAATATTACATGTAATCCTGTTATAGAAGGGTATGTCATAATGTAGTTATCCTTCTTATTTTTAAGATTATTATAACTATCATGTATACTATCGTTACCATCATACTGATGATTATGACCACCACCATCATTACTCGTACGACCATCATCATCATTATCATCCGGGGTATTGGTAGTAGTAGTAGTAGTAGCAGTGGGGTTATAATAACAAGTCGATATAGTATTATTAGTATTTCTCATAGTAGTAGTAGTAGTACTATTAGCTTTAGGTATCATCATACCAACACTTGATGCTCTTCTTAATTGTCCAGGTGGTAATACTCCCATACGTGGTATAAGATATCCTCTATTAGAAGCTACTACATCACGACCACGACCAGCCTTCTTGATCTTATTCTTCTTATAACCATCGTCATCAGCATCATTATTACTCTTATTCCGTAGAAGTGTCTTATTTCTGAATAGCCACTTGGATGATGATGATGATGCTGGTTTATCCCCTTCATTAATTTGCCTATTATTACTATCACCCTTATCATCATCATCATCATCATCATCATCATTATCAGTAAGTAATGTATCACCTACTCAAAAGAGGATGGTCACCATTACTAAGGATGATGAAGGTATAGAAGAATAGATGCTACTACTACTACCACTTGTATTATCGTATTCATCGTATGCATTAGGGATATCCTAAAATCGAACTCATGATATATGTATTTACTATTGTTGTTGTTATTATTAATAATACCTTAACAGCATCTGGTAGGCTCCTAATAGCTGATCCTTGAGCATCCCAAGATACCGAGAATCTACTTCACATCATCATCATCATCATTATTCCATAACATAACATTACTACTACTACTTCTCATCCATTGCTTTTACAGCTTCCAATACACTTCTTCGTGCTGCCTTTAGGCTTTCAGGAGTGTCTCTATTATAATAATTATGTAATGATGCTACAGATGATGATATTGATGATGATGATTGTATTGTATTGTAATGCCTAGTACTAGATATCTATCCAAATAACAATAATAATGACTACTACTACTTATTAGTTACTACTACTACTCCTATTACCTCCTCCTCACCATTCTTTCTGTTATTATTCTCTTCTATATACCCCATACCCCTATTCTCATTATCCTCTAAGATCATCCTATTACCAGAAGAAGGAGGAGAAGGAAAAGGAGGAGCTCCTCTTCTATCATCATCATTACCATCATTACATCCCATCGATATAGTAAAGCTGTTACTCTTGATAGGTAATGTAGTAGTATTATTATCATTAGATAATGATGATGATGACTTCAATGGTTGTTGTTGTTGTTGTTGAGGTGTATTAATAGTAGGCGGTGGCATTAGGGCCGATATTGATGACCTTCTTGATGATTTAGATGTCTTAGTAACCTCCCTTATACTCTTTTCCTTCTCATTCCATCTCTCAGCTGCTACTGGTGGTAGTATATAAGGATCACTGTATGATAGCATAGTTAAAGGGAAGAAGCATATGAACAACAACAACAATATTTATAATAATACAGTCCCCACTACACATACTCGATATCCACTGAATAATAATAATACTACAACTCCATCATCATCACTCAAGATTACTCAAGATTGACCATATTTTACAACGAAACGTAACTTCTTCTTCTTCCCAACTTGTAGCGAGCAGACGTATAATAATCGATTATTACGTATGATAAGCCGGTGGTATTGCTATTGTCAATAGCCTTGTTAATATTATGATGATTATACATTGGGTTTATCATCTCTTGATATCCTGTCTGGACACATCTCTTTATCAACCTTCTTCCTATTAGCCTCTGCTTCTTCGAATGTGTCTATCTCATTCGATTTGGACTTTTCCAGGAATGTCATTACTGTCTTGAATCTACAATACATAAACATGATATCAACAATAATAATAAAGCGAATAGTAGTTATAGTAATTACTACTACTAGTAATGATGATTATGATTATGATATTACCTAAAGTCAGTATTATCAGCCATAATCTTAACTTGTATATGATCAAATACAGCAAGAGTTATCTTAGACTTATCATTAACAGCAATCATCTTATCCTCATCACATATCCATTCATCATCATCTTTATTATTATCATCCAATTTACATACCCCATCAATACCATATCTAGGTACTACAACCTGTAGACTACCCCCTCCTCGTCGTAGTCCTCCTATTCTTGCTCTAACACGAGTGATAACAGCATCCGCTGTACATGGACCATTCTTATTAAAGTATCTGCATATAATCATCATCATCATGGTAATACACCTGCTGCTGTTGCTGTTGTTGTTGTTGTTTATTAATATTATTATTATTACAGATAAGTATGTAACTCGGCAGATGCTCTTCCTGCAAACTGTGCATTACGATGTCTAAAGTTGATCTTATCACATTGCTCAATAACAGCAGTCTTGTCATTAAGTTGTGGTGGTAGTGGTCTAATACCCAAGGACGCCATTAATAGACGATGAACCTGATAATAACACCAACAATAATAATCATTATTAGGTATTACTATTTAGTAGTCATTACTAAATAGTATTATTATTATTACTAGAATATCAGCATAACGTCTAATAGGACTAGTAAAGTGGGTATATAAACCCATTGCCAGACCATAATGTGAGAACATACCATTCTCAACTTCACCAGTACAGAAATACCTAATAACAACAACAATAATAGTGATGATGAATATGATTATCATTAGTATATTATTATTCATACTGTGCTTGATTCATCGTCCTGGTAGTCATTATCCTCACTAACCTATTGAAGTAAGGATCATCCTTCTTATTACATACTGTATTAAGGCTTCTAGATAACTCTCTATTACTACCAAACTGGAATCCCTTTACACCTAATATCATAATCATTATTATTACAACTACTACCAACATCGCTATCATAGCAACTAATACCTTGCTTCTCAAGTAATGATCTTAATGATTTCAATTGCTGTTCTTTTGGAGGTGGATGACGACGAAGGACACTATTACTAGGGAAATGCTGAGTATACAACAACAAGAAGGAGTAGCAGATGAAGGATATATATTATTGTTATTAATGTTACCTTTAATATTTGTTCAGCTACTGATGTATTAGCTAATAACATGAATTCCTCAACAAGTCTATTGGTATCCTTCATAGTATACTCAGCAACATCAGTAGGATCACTAGTCTCGGAATCCAATTCAAATCGTACTTCTTGACTTGCTAATTCTAATGCACCACCAGCCATACGTTTACGTCTAATAATCATCGCTGCCTTTAATAGACGTCTAATACCTATTAATGATTATGATAATGAATTGATGATGATGATGAATATTACTTTGAGTTAGATCCGAATTATCATTCTTATCATCAATACGTGCTTGTGCTTCAGCATAACTTAATGCAGCATTAGAGTTAATAATAGCCTTATGGAATTGGGTATTCACTATCTTTAATACTTCTTCATTTCCATTCTTCTTATTAAGTTGAAATTCCCATAATACCGAGAAGCATAATCTATCCTTACCACCGACTAGACTACATAAATCAGTAGTAAGAAGACTTGGTAACATATCAGTCCTTCTTTCAACTAGATATACTGTAGTACATCTCTCAGCAGCTTCCTTATCAATAGCTGTATTAGGATGTACAAAGTGTGTTACATCAGCTATATGTACTCCTATACGCCAATTACCATTATCTAGAACCTATTATTAGATCCAACATCCTAGTAGTAGAGGTAGTATTACTACTACTACTACCTCACAGCTTAGTGCATCATCAATATCCTTACAACCTGGTGGATCTATACTACATACCGTAACATTTCTTAAATCCAATCTACGGGATATCTCCTCTCTAAGAATAATAACGAGTACACAATGGTATGATGCTGCTGCTGCCGTTGATGATGATGTTGGTGTTGTTTATTGATATTACTCATCTGGTTGGAAATCCTTAGGAGGTAGACATCTCATAACATCATCCGAGAAGTCTCTAGTAATAACATTATGTTCATGCAATATAACTGATGATTCAGTATCCCTTTCACCACATCTGCCCAATATACGACTCCAATGACCCTATCATGATGATGAATAGCAATAATACTAGTAATACGATAATAAGTATTATTACTTGTGGTAGTCTAGATGTCCTATCCCATGTATCCATAACTACACATATTCTCATATTATCAAGATCATTACTATGTTTAGTAACTATCCTTATATTAGGTATACGAGGATTAGCAGGTATAAATATTCTCTCTATCTTACTGTACCCAATCATACCCCCACCATGCTGCTTATCTCCTTGTTGTGGTTGCCTATTATGGAGTAATAAGTGATGATGATTACGATAATAAGGTATATTACTCTTCTTCTTCTTGTTGTATTGGTCTCAGAGTACCAGCATATTCCCTCCAATTACGTTTTATTATACCAACAACTCGTCCCTCCTTCTCGATAATACCTCCTACTATTACCACTACCCTACTACTATTAGGTACCAATACTTATCATCCCTTACCTTCTGGAGTTGTAGATTCCTCCTCTAATACTCTCTCCTCCATAGCCTCCGCACCACTAGTTGGTAGTACGGCAACATTATCATCATCATCGCCATCATCATTTGATGATGTTGATGTAGGAGTGTGTATCTCCTCAACGGCTACTACATCCCCATCAACAGCACGATTAATATTGAATCTGAATACTACTTATATAAGTACTATCATACGTATTATTATTATCATTACCTTCCTTTGATCATTAGATGTATCTCCTTATTCTTACTTGATACTACTACTACTTTACCTCTTTGCCATGAACTTACTGAACATCTGAGTATACCCTGGTGTAGTGTACCATTTTGGAGTCCTTTTGTTATAACACTACGATGATAATGACCTAATACTTATTATCATTATTATCATAATTGAAAAGGTAGCATTACCCGTATATCCTCCATCTTCAGCCATATTGTCAGGTACATTATTCATCACTACTGTAGCACTAGATGGTAATGCTAACTTCTCTGAACATGTTGGATATATACTATGTAACTGTAATGATAGTATTATTCTAATGGTAATATAACAATGCTGATGTAGTAGTAGTATTACCTTATTATCACATAGTTGCTCACAAGTGATTATGTTATTATATCCCATATCCAAAGCTATTTGTTTACATTTATCATCATTACATAGGATTAATGATGCATTAGGTATACCCAAATGATTATCATACCTAACATCATAATCAATATAAGCATCATAATTATTATCCTAATATACAACAAGTAGTAGTAGTACCATTGTGCAACCTTGACAGTACAATATATATCCCTCTTGTCATTATCGACTTCAGACTGCCGCTCCACAAAAGTGTCACGGCAATGCTCATTGGCGAATACATAGAAATTGGATGTTATACTGTTATCAAGTGATGATGATGATGAGAACCTACATTAATAATAGTTGTACAAGTAGGTAAAAGTATTACTTCGCAGTTGTTGCCTCTTTCTCTTCTTCTTGTTGATGTTGTTGTTGCTCTATACTAGTATTATTACGACATCTATTACGCAATCTATCATAAGATCCTTTACCACCTATAGCTTGATGTTTTAATGCCTGATAATATAATTATTAAAATAAAGATCGTTGAAAGATGGTATTGATGATATTATAAATATTATTACATTAAGTGCAGTATATGTTATAACAACATTACCCAAATGCCATCCATCTACATCACATGAATCACATAACCAATCTAATTGATTCATACATACTCTTGGTGTTGGGATAATAACTATATGTGGTGATAATGCTGGTATACCTTACAATAATAATAACAATAATAATAAGAAAGCAAGTAATAATAATAATGATTATTATTATTAATATCTAGATGATATTACCATATTCAATAGACATAGCATTGGTATTATTATCATTATTACTATAACCAGCAGCAGCGGCGGCGGCCGACTCTACTTCATCATCATCTTGTAAACCTTCTCTACAATAATCACATTCCATGAATCCACATGGTATATCATCTCTTAGATATGCTTCCCTCACTATCCTTCTTACTCTACCCCTCCTAGTCCTCTTATATTGTACCATATACCCATTATTAGATAGAGATAATGATGAAGTAGTAGTAGTAGGAGGTGGAGGAGGAGGTGGAGCCATTACCACCATCGATGATGATGATGTATTCATAGTGATGATGATAATAACAATATCTACTACTAGTACAACAAGAATAACAATAATACATATATAACGCTACAATTATAGCAACAATAAGAATATCACTTCACATTCAAGTTTTCATATTCTTTATCAT